TAAGATGTGAATGTTTAGTCTGGACCAATGTATTTTAGGAGTATGTAACTCTTCTTTTGCATGTTAAATGTGTAGTGTGCATGCGTGTATATGTGTGTATCACAAGTATGTGGGCACACATGTGCTCATGTGCATGTGGAAGTCAGAGGTTCATGTCAGATGTCTTCCTTGATTGTGTCTGTGTTAATACAGAGTCTCTTAACTGAACCCAGAACTCACCAACTTGGCTAATCTGGCTAGCTGGCTTGCTCCAGTGATTTCTTCGCTTACTATCTGAACACTGTGATTAAGAGAGGCCTCTATGCCCACCTTGCATCCACATGTGTGCTGGAGATCCAAACTCTGGTCCTCACACTTGTTTGGCAGCAAATAGCAAATGCATTGCCTGCTGAGCTGTCTCCCCAGCCTGCTTTAAAAAATAATAGGGGATTATCTTTAGACTCAGTAGAGTCTAAATAATGAGGTTATCTTTAGACTCAGTAGAGTTAGCTGAGTTAGACTTTTGAACAACGTTGGAACTTTCAAGAATTTGGGAACTCCCGGAGATGGACTAGCTGCATTTTGTACTATGGGAGACCCATGAGACTCTGGGCACCAGAGATGGAATGGCATGGTTTGAATACATCTTGTCTTTCATGCATTCAGATATTGAACACTTGGTCTTCAGTTAGTGGCTCTACTTTGGGAGGTTGTGGAAACTAAAGGAGAAAGGCCTGGTTAGAGGCAGTAGGTCACTGTGCAGGTCTTTGGGAGTGACTTCTGACTGTCCCTTCCTGTCTTCTACTCAGCTTCCTGTCTACCACAAGGTGAAGAGATTCCCCTGCTACATGCTCTCACTACCCTGATGTTCTGTCCAAGAACCTGAGGCCAAGCAATGGTAGATCAAACCTCTTGAAGCTCTAAACCCAGATACATGTTGAAGGAGATTCGCAAACCATGGGGGCTTCCTCCTAGACCCCAGATTAGGCATAAACCACACCCAAACACCTGTTTTCACAGAGATCCTTTATTATGCAGGAAGAAAGGTGGCTGCTTTCTGACTCAGGCAGAAAACATCAGCAAACGGTCTTTCAGGTGTCAACCTTAAGAGGAGAAGATGGGGAGGTCTGTGTTAGAATGGGCTAGGATGCAGTGGTAAAGGAAATGGGGGAGAAGGGAGAAGGGGGAAGGGCTAAAGGAAAGGGGGAAGAGGCATTTGTCCCAGGGGAACAGAGGACTGCCTTTTGATAGAGAGGAAACAAAACATGGTACATAGGTAAACGGCAGTTTAAGGAGGTAAAGGGGAAGTTGTTTTAGGATGGGGTGTTTAATTTTAATTGGGTGTGTTAATTAGGTGAACAAAAGGGGGCTTTTGATTGCTGGACTTTGACAGTCAGCCTCAGGAGGAGGAAGTGGCCAAATAAGGAACTAGACCTTGGTAGCTAGCTTTAGGAATGTAATCTAATGGTTTTTAGCAAGGCAGAGAAGAAGGGCAAGGCCGGCCAATGCCACATGATCAACTGGGCTAGTGTCCCTTCAAGTCTTACTGCCTTTAAAGTTTTTTCTCTTTTTCACTGAAAATTTTTTTTTTTTTGGTTTTTCGAGACAGGGTTTCTCTGTGGCTTTGGAGGCTGTCCTGGAACTTGCTTGGTAGTCCAGGCTGGTCTCGAACTCACAGAGATCCCCCTGCCTCTGCCTCCCGAGTGCTGGGATTAAAGGCGTGCGCCACCAACGCCCGGCCGAAAATAATTTTAATACAATAGTTTTCCATCATAGTTTCTCCTCCTTCATGTCCTCCTTGATCTCTCCCCACCCATCAAACTCCAAGCCTTCTTTGTCTTTCTTTAGAATACAAACTGACCAGTAAAACAGAATTTAAAGAAAAGAAACACATATGTAGACATACACACAAACCATAAATACACAAAATTGGAAATCATAATACTCAAGCAAAAGACCAATAAGGTTAAAAAAAAATGCCCCAAAGGAAAGATGAGGCAAACAAAAAACAAAACATCACTGAGTTCATTTTGTGTTTGCCATCTACTGCTAAGTACCAGGTCTGTCATGAAGTGTGGTTTGTATACCTAGTGAGACTCCATTGGAGAGAAGTAGTCTTTCCTTTGCAAATGATTATCAGTTGGAGATGGTTTCTCAGTAAAGGATGGGGACTCGTGTTCATGTCCCCTCTCAGTACTGGAATCCCATCTGTCTTGGGTCTATGCAGGTCCTGCGCATGCTTCTACAGTCTCTGTGAGTTTATATGTGCATCAGTCCTGCTGTGTCTAGAAGACACTGTTTCTTTGGTGTCATCCATCACCTTTGGCTCTTACAATCTTTCAGTCTCCACTTCTGCATAGTTCTGTGAGCCCTGGGTGGGTGGGGGGAGGTTGATGCTATGTCAAATATTTTATTACAAACTTTAAAAAAATTAGTGAGCATTTGCGTAGTCATACATATACCAAACATTATTTCTAAAAGTTTAAAATTCTTATCTATTTGAATTTCATAAACCATGAGAGAAATATTATACCACCTTATGGTAAAAAAAAGGAAACATAAAATAGCAATAATTTGTTCAAGGTATCTCAGCTACTAACTGAAGGAACCAGTCCCTCACCCAGCCCCTGCTTTGCCAGCCATGACAGGCTGCAGAAAAGACCCAGCAAGATAAAGGCCTCTGACTCAGCCACATGTGCTGACCTGCTAACGTTGCCCGACCTTGCCTCAGTAATTATGAAGCCAGATAGCCTCCATATGGCAAGGAACCAATCAGAAGTTAGCTGGCGGGCTCTGAGTGTGCTTTCAGGTAACAGTGGAATACAGAGCATAACAACTGCCCTGGGAGGGGGTATAGTCCATAGCAACCATTCCTGCAGGTGTAGTTGACCAATCAACGCAAGGACAGGTTGCCTAAGGCTGGAAGTGCAGCAATCCTGAGACTCTTGCGGGTCCCCAGATACTCCCCTTGCTGTACCCCAATAAATTTCCTGCCCTGTGGTTCCACCAGGTCCTTCTCTCTCCAGCCGCTGTGTCAGACAGACGGAGGACCTGAGTTAATACAGTTAGCTCATTAATTAATTAAAGATTCTTTGTTTTTGTATTGGATCGAGTCTCTTGGTGATTTGGAGGTTCAGAATTTGGGCACAGCACTAATGATAAGACTTTTCTTTTTTACATCCGATGATTTTCCCCAACCTTCTAGCATGTCATGTGCAGATGTTTTCTCAGCCTCACTTGCTTGCTTCTGAAAATGCAGTCACCATGCCCAAGCTGGTACCATGAAAGCCAGGCATGTTTTCTTCCATGTAGGTAATCGATAGTAGTTAGCTGCTTATATTTCCTCCATATAGACAGGTGACTTGGGACGCCCTTGCACCAGATTTCCAGCACTAACCTCGGAGGTGCCCGCCAGCTGATTTCTTATAGCAAATGCAGAAAAGGGTGACAATTTCCTTTCCATCAGCAGTGAAAGATGGAGTAAATATTTTCTATTTTCAAATCATTGGAATTTTGCAGACCCAGAAATCTGGAGTGTGCATTTGGTAGTGAGCAGACCCTGTGACTTCCCAAAAGATATGTCCGAGTCTTGACAGTCAGAATTATGTGGCCTCAAGTGACTGAACCACAGGAATGGGCCGAAGTGAAGAAGGGCCCTCCTGTTGCAGTTTTCTGGGATATTAAAACCTTCCATCTTGGAGGGAAACTTCTTCAGACAGGATGTTTACAGGCAGGTGAAACAACAGGTTATTCCAAGAGGGAGGTGAAATACTATAGGGTAGTTCCTTAAGAAATGTCTAAAAAGCTCAAAATAGCTTCCAGAAACGGCCAGATTCACTACTCCCTCACGCTGCTACACACTCATCTAGAGTATATAAACAGCAAAGCCTCCTAAGAGTTGCTCCCAGACCAGCCAAGCTGCAAGGAGACTTTCAGGCAACCCCGGTCTGGTGGAATCAGAGTCCAGCCAACTGCCTGGGAGAAATAAAGACTAGCTGAACTGCCTGGAAAGGACATACTCCAAGCTGTGGGGCTGCCTTCAGGCGGGGCAGTGCTCTCTGGGCGTCCAGATTTGGTGCATAATCTTTCTGAGTCATTTCAGCTCCTGTAAGTAACCCAATAAAGCCCACAGGTTCCCAAGTTAAGCTTTGTGGCATCAGGTCTGTGTCGGTTCCCTCTCTGTGGTCAGAGGCTGAGTCCCCAGGAAAAGCCTGCCACACACCACCCCTGCAGTACAAAGAGGAGGGCAGCTCTGCCTCACTCTGATTTAGGATGATGTCTGGCCTCTCGAAGTATGACAGGATAAACATCCACTGGTTAAAGCACTAGGATTGTGGTAATTTATCAAGGCAGCCATGAAAAACGGTTGTACTTTGGGAGGTGAATTTTGCAGAATCATCAGCCATTTATCTGACTGTTTTGGAGTTTGAGACTTAGCCCTCAGGTCCTTACTTAAGTGAGTTTTAGAAACACCCAAACAAAATAGAACAGAAAAAAGCAGTCTCCTTGTTTCCATTGCATTTGAAGCAAGGTCCAGATTATGCCTGTGTGTTTGGATAGTGTGGTCTTTGTCCTCTCACTGAATCTGGGGGAGGTCATGTTGACTTTTGGAAAGCCATGCTTCTTCCTGATGGCAAAGTTATAAACCAAATTTCAACTCCCTTCAGAGGAAATTTCCACCTACTGAAACACATGATAGTGGGCTTGGATTATACTTCCCCTCTTCTTTTCCAAAGGTTCCCTCTTTGTTCCATAACATTTTCTGTCTTGGTGGATGAAGTGCCTCTAAACACGTGTTTCTGTTTCTAGACATATTTAACCTAGTCCTTGGAAATCTCCAAAGGTACATGCAATACCACACAGGAGTGATGAGATCATCTCCCCACCCATCCCCACCTTTCCATTTTGAAAGCTCCAATAGGAACACATGAATGGCTGTTTTCAGTAATTTCCTGGGACATGAGTTTGAGTTCCACAGTTCATGGTACAATGAGAATGAAGGAAACAAACAAACTGGACAGTGGAGTCAGATCATCTTTAATGTCCAGATGACTAAGTTTTCTGGAACATTCCAGCTATGGTTTTCTGAAACGGTGAAGAGTTTCTGGAACTTTCCTTTTCTCTTTGATAGGTGGCATGCCTGGATCCAAGTGAAATTAAAAAGCTGAAATCTAGTAATGAACCTGGCTGCCCTCCATCCCCCTCCCCTTAGGGATATTATTGGGAAGAGCCTGATTCTGGGTAGCTTTGCAGCATCCACAGGCTTATTTAGGTTGCAGAAGGGTGGTTGCTCCCAGGAGCCCTGCACACAAGTGTCCTCACTCCTTACCCAGACCTGGCAAGCATTAGATGTGTTGTCACATACCTTGTCACAGGACTGGCACCATAACAAGAGCAGTCTCTCAATCAGAGTGAAGCCTTCAGTGGCATTTCATTGTTATTCCCAAGGCTGTGTAATGCTAACTGACATTCCAGCTTATAAGATCTTAGCTCATGTCAGGCTGATGGCTGGTGCTGCTGTTCTTAATGCTTTTTGGTCCTTGGAGGCTGACCGAACTCACTGGAGTCTGAGAGGGGAGAATAATGAGGTGAGGACCTGTGATCCATCCCGTGGGTCTGCTCGTGTGAGAGCCTGTGTGTCAAGGGCTCACTCACTGTCTCCTTTTTTCTTTGAATCTGCTACACTTGTTCCTCCATGATGCTACTGACAGCAAGAAGGAAGCTTAGGAGTCTGGATTTCAGCTGTATGAGTTTGGTTCAGAGTAATGAATGCTTTGATATGGACTGTGGGTCTCTCTCTCTCTCTGTCTGTCTCTGTCTGTCTGTCTGTGTGTGTGTGTGTGTGTGTATCTTTTTAAAAAGGCCAATACTTCCTCCTATAAAACTCTTTCCTCTCTCTTTTCGTTCCTAGTTGCCTTTCTCATCCCTCCTCTGTTGCTTTTGGGGCAGTTTGAAATTCTGAGCTTGCTTCTGCATGTGTCCTGTGTATAGCAGTCACATTGGCAAGGCCCATTCCTTTTGCCATTGAGTCAGCTATGTCAGACTGAGCCAGCGCCACTGGTTGTCAGCTGCTGTGTTTCCTCCAAGAGTTTCATGCACTCTCAGGCATCCGTGTACTTACCCAGCCTTCTACCCCTTCCTCTCCGTGTTTCCCTTCACAGATCCTCCCCTGAGCCCCACGCATCTGCTCTGAGCTTAGATTAGGGAACCTGGAAGGCCTGGAGAGCATCCACAGGAAGGGCAGCAGGAATAAAAGGGCAGGGAATATGGGGGAGAGATGCAAGTGATTCTCTGAATCGGTTACCCCAAAAGAGCAGAAGAAGGAGGGGGTAGGGAAGGGGAGGGATGAAGGAAGAATAAAAGCAGAGAGAAGTGAGGTGGAGGGAGGGGCAGCAGGAGAGAGGAGGGAGGGAATTATAAAACCACAAAGAGAATTGAACAGCCCTCCTACCAGCCCTCAAATTATATGACTGAACAAGGCTCCATGGGCAGAAGACAACAGTAGGCGAGGAGGCTTACCAGCTGCCAGTAGCCTGAGGACATGGCTGGTCCACATGAGTGCCACACCAGAAATCTCCTTGACCTTTGATTCTGGTGTTTTCATGGGAGCCAGTGAACTCTGCCTGCCTTTCCAAGAGGCTGGTGAGTGTGGTGTCGCGTAGGAACTGGGGTAGCTGCAGTCCAGGGAGGCTTGCTTCCTTTCTCCCTTCTGTGTCTGGGGAAGCCTGTTAGCTCGGGAGTGAAGGGAAACTGGAGGCAGCTGCTGCCAGAGGAACAGTGATGCTCTCATTGTGAGGACAGCAGTGACTGATGAACGAGAGAGTGAGATCCTTTCTTCAGAATCACTTCTTTACAGCACTGTTCTTGTGGTTTGACTAATTAGACTCATAATTTGGACAAGAAGGAATAGAAATTTCTCCCTTCTAAACATTTTAAGCAAAAAAAAAAATGAGGCTTTGCCAAGAAGACTGCTTTTGCCTGCCACTGCCTCCTAAATAATGGCTTTTGCTTAACTAAAACATTAAAATACAACCCTTCTGTTTGAGTTTCTTCTCTTTCTTTTTACAGCAGATGGTTTAAATGACCTAAGCATATGCCAGGAAGGTATGATTCATTTTTCCCTGAGGAACCCTGGAAGGATAAATGCCGGAATGGCTCAAGAGAAGAAAGACCACTGTCCCTCTGCTGCATTGGTGCTGTTGTGGCTTTGTCTTGTCACTTTTGGCAGAGACTCTTCCAGGGTCCCATACAAAGGCTGAAGCAGGTGACACCCATGGGGTGGGGTGCTAAGCAGTACCGTCTTTGCCATTATGAGGAGGGAGGAAAGAACTGGGAGTGAGGTGGGGGACTTCACAGAGTGTAGAATAAGTACTGGCAAAAGCCATGCTGCAAGAAAGCAAGAAAGCGCCCATGAAGCTGGGGGAGGGGCGCAATTAGTGGAGTGCTTGCCTAGCAGGCAGGGGACCCTGGGCTTGATGTCCAGCACTGCGGAAACCGAGCATGGTGCCACGCACCTGTAATCCCAGCACTCAGAGGCTAAGGCAGGAAGATCCAGCGCCATTCTCAGCTACCCAGCAAGTTGAAGACCAGCCTGAGATACAGGAGCCTGTGTTTCAACAAGAAAGAGGCTAGAGAAGTGGCTCCACGTGCAGGAGCCTGTTCTGCACACGTTTGAGGACTGGAGTTTGAATCCCCAGAAGCCAAAGAAAAGCTGGGCATGAACACACAGATGTAACGCATTCCGGTGCTGGGGCCGGAGGTAGAGACAGGAAGACCACTAGGGTTTCCTTGGCTCCAGCTTCAGTAAGTGGCCCTGTTTTCCAATGAAACAGCAGAAACTGACAGAGCAGGACCGACCCCAACTGGCATCCATCTCTGGCCTCTGCACCTGTACAGGTGAACACACACACACACACACACACACACACACACACACACACACACACACACACACACACACACAACGTGAGGAAAGAAGGGAGGAGAGCCAGAACAAAATAATAACACTGGGATATTATGTATGCATATGTAAGAAAACAATTTGATGACTTGGAGGAGAGGGATCCTTCTTGGGTCACATTTTTTACACATCTGGAGTATTTATGACTCCTCATTGTTCTATGATGACATGCTTCACCAGCAGTTTCTGATATGTCAAGCCTGAGAAGCAAATTCATTCTGGAAGCTCTTCTGACAGAAGATCTGGCAGAGAGCTCTGGCTCTGGAGGCTGGAGGATTCCATGTGGGAAGAGGGTATTGGGTGTGTTTGGAAGCACTAGCAGACACTATGCTAGTATAGAGCTACCCCACAAGACAGTTGACTACTCTGACCAGAAGCTTTAGCTTATGCAGGAGTGCCAGCTGACACTATAGCTCTCTGCTCTGATCTCAGTGTCTACATAGTTTTCTATTGGTTAGTTCTCGGGCTGTTCAGACCATGGAATACAAATACATAATGCAGACTTTGACCTGTTTTTGCAAATAAATGTGAACTGAAATTGCTTACCGTGAATAATTCTATCTCATTCAAATCGGCTGCTAAAAAGTCCTTCCTCTCTTGGTAACTTTCAGTCATCTACTAAAAGGGTCCCTGAGCACACTAGTCAGCTAGTCTTACCAAACTGGAAACCCCCAGGTTTAGTAAGATTGTGTTTTTTAAGCTTACACAAGTGTATGGCTAAACAGACAAGAGTATATTTGAAGACACCAAATTTGAAGTCATAGAAAATCTCCACTCCAGAAGAAATAATGTAAGATCAGTCTGGTACTTTCACATGAATTACTTGTTAAATATCCAAATGAACATTTATTTGAAATTGTCATATGTTCTTTAAATTCTGATTCTAGATAAATTCTTTCATGATGCCAAATGAAAAAGAGGGAAGCATGTTTCTTGGTAATATTCCTGTAGTGGGCTGTGTGCAATGGTTAAATGAATCGATCAGAGCCACTTCATCAATGTGGAAAATCACAAAATATTAATGTTGAGTGAAGACACTCAAGACAAACTGTATACAGTGGTGTCCATTTGATGATCTCATATACCACATGCATATAGTAGAAAAATATATGAAAGAACTCTAACCTAAACATGACATTTTCAGACCTCCCAAGAGAGGTGACATTTTACATAAAACCCTTGCAATTTTATTGTCACCTAGGTCCACCCAGTCTTTCTCTATACATCTGTCACACACCCCGTTCAAAGTTTCTTCCTCAGGAAGACATCTTCTTGCTGTCTCCAGAAGAATGGTTGAAGTTTTATTGACACCATATGCTTTCTCGTCTTCATCAAGGATAAGGACAATGTCTTACACATTGTGGTATTTCCGACATTTGGCCAGAGTCGGCCACTTAGACCATGATTGGTATTTGATAACAAGCTTTCGGTGATAGTCACATTGTAAGAGTTAAGGAGCTCATCTGAGGGATGCACACAAAAGCATCAAGAAATGGATCTAGAGAGGTGGCTCAGTGGTAAAGAGCATTTGCTGCATTTGTGGAGGACCCAAGTTCACTTCGAAGCACACAAATGGCAGCTCCCAATCATCTGTAACTCCAGACTCGAATTCAGTGCCTTCTTCCAGTCTTGTCCCAGGGAGTCTGGGTGAGAGGAAGAACACGATTTTGCTTCTTGAGGGTATCATGGGACTCTCAAGTGAGAAGAACAAGAGGGCTGGGAGAAGAACTTACCTGGACAGAGACAGGGTGTTGAAACAAAAAGGGTGTACCAGAACAAAGGAAGCCACAGGTTCTTTCCCTGATCACCTCTTGCCACAGACACCTGTAATTTCTTGCTGGGGAGCTGTAGGTTGCAATGTTTGTTAAATCTCCATTTTCCCCTGCAGCCAGCAGGAGCATAGAGGACCTAAGTACTTTCTGGTTTGATTTATTTATTGAATTTTAAAATCCAATATATATATCTAAAATTAAGGAATTAACGTTCCTAAGCCTACTCGAGTGTTTTCCAATTACCAACTCTTTGGATTCTAATTTATTTTAAAGAAAATGTTCTTGCATTCTATAAGTATATGGGCAATCATCAGTTTGCAGTTTGTGCCAGCTTGGATTTCAGTTACTACGCTTAAGTTAAACAGCACCAATTCCCAGGTGCATGTTCGAGTTTCAGTGACCACAGTGCACTGCTCTGAGTAACAGCATCAAGTACAAACATCACCACCAGCACATCAGTCCACATATCACTGCATAAACTGCAGACCACACCATATTCAGTGACCACTCGTATTACTTGTTTGCATATCTATCAGCTACTTGCGACTCTCTCTGGTAGTCAGTTCATGCAGACGGAAGTGTGTAGCCATGATGCCTCTTTGTCTCTCAAGTGACAAAACCACATGATATTTTGCAATGATAAATAACTGAAAGAGGAAATTGGGTTGACATAAAATAAAATTGCAGCTAAAAGAGAGAAGTGGTAATGATATAAAGGGAAATGAAGTTGAGCTCTGGGAAAAACTGCACACAGTGGGGCTACTGACATCACCACCATCGAGAGACACACAGTGTGCAGCCAGGAAAACAACATTCCAAAGTCCAGTTTATTGACAGAGTATAGGAATGAAATTGTGACCCAAATGTCTATCAATTAATGGATAGATGTGCAAAATGTGATGTATTCATGCAATAGAATTCTACTCAGCCATGAAAAGAGTGGAATGCTGACTCATGTGTGACATAAGTGACCCTTAAAAACACTATGGTGTATTTAAGAAGCCAGCCACACAAAACCACAAATTGTGGAGTCTGCTTATAGGAATGCCCTTCCTGGACAGACCCATGTAGACAGAAAGTAACCAAGTGCTTTCCCGGAGTTGGACAATTGTGGAGACTAAGGAGCAACTGCTAATGGTTATGGGATTTGGGGAGCAACTGAAGCCATGAGAATATTCTGAAACTAGATTGTGGCAATGAGTATAGAATCCTGTGACTGTGCTGAGACTTACTGAGATGTACTTTGAATTTTGTAACATATGGATTGTAAGTCAATAAAGCTGCTACTAATGAATTACAAATTTCTAAGTAAATTAGTTCCTTAATTGTATTTTCCTTTACATTTATAACCAACAGCAAGGGAATTTTTAATGTCCTGACAAAAGTTTTAAAGGTCACAGAATGATTGTCTTTCCTGTTGACTATTAGCATTGCTTAGTTTCAATGTGCTCAGTCAGTTTCATTGCCCGTCAGGATTCCTTAGATAAATGGTTCTCAGCCTGTGGGGCTCAGCCCCCTCAGGGGTCATGTATCAGATATCCTGCTTATTAGATATCCTGCTTATCACTCATAACAGAAACAAAACTACAGTTATGAAGTAGCAATGAAACAATGTTAAGGTTGGGGGTCACCACAACATGAAGAATTATATTAAAGGGTTGTAGCATTAGGAAGGTTGAGGACCCCTGGCATCTTGATCAATTCAGCAGAAAGTTCAGTGATACCACTTATTAGCCAGTTTCTTTGTTTAATTTTAGTATTTTGCTAACATACATGTAAACAATGGCGAGGACCATCATAGCCTCTTGAGTGCTAGCCTCAAGCCTCTACTTCAAAGCCATACCTTCTTAGCCGTGGACCATTGCTTTACTGATCAGCTGAGGCTTGGCAAGGATTACTCCTGGTAGCAAAGAGGGTATAGTGAGAATTTATACTGGAAGTTTAATCCTCCAATGTATTTATTTAATGAGGGAAATAAGCTAAATTATGACTTCAAACATTGCTTGACTTAATATTTAGTCACAAT